CCCCCCCCCCCCCCCCCCCCCCCATGTCAACCTGCTTTAAATGTATCTCTTACACAGCAGGAGTCGAAGAGATTCGTGCTGCTGGAGTATTTGGTGGGAGGCACGCTGACGGAGTCTATGTTGACGCGGAATCCGCCGGCGGACGGGATGATGAGCTCGGTCGTAAGGTAAGCGCCTGGTCTCCGCAAGGCTCGAACGATTCTTCGGCTTCGGGGGTGACGCAGTGTGTATGCCTAGACGGAAGACCTACTTCACCCTTCTATAGGGCTGAAACTCTTACTCTGCATGTGGTTGCGAGACTTTGTTCTCGCGAGCAGTACGCGCGTGTACAACCTAAGCGTCGCAGCCGGGGGACCGGTCGTAGGACACGTCTCCGCCCCTAGAGAAGTTTGGGCTACGACGTGTTGAACCCCGACCTCGCCGCTTCCTTGAAGGACGGAACGACGTGGCACGGTTGTCGAGCGTCCACCTGTCGGGAGCACGCACCCACGCCACGAGTAAATGGTCGTGCCCGCTTGGCGGCTTTGCGTTTTTTCGTGGCAACAAGTCTCAACAACGGGCGTGGGTTTGAGGCCAACCTAACCGCATGTATGCTCTTGTGCGTGCGCGGCGTCCCTCTCTCGATGCTCACTGAAACAGCAGCCCATTCCCTTCGGCCTGTAGCGATGGTGGTGTCTAAATAAATAACTTCCAAACGTGCCCAAGTAATATACAACCACGTTGTTTCCGATAAAAAAAGGCGCTGGCAGCAGAACTGGCAGTTCCCAACCAAGAAGGCGATAGATAGCGCGCTGCAGCTGGCGTCGGCGCTGAGTTACCTCCACGGTAGGGCCATCGAGGGGAGCTTTGTGGTGCACCGCGATCTCAAGCCGGAAAACATCGCCTTTTCTGGCGACGGGCGTCTCAAGCTCTTCGGTGAGTCTTTTTCACTCGGCTGAAGTTTTTTTTTTTTGCTGTCGTCCGTCCGTGGCGTTATGTCGGGTCTGTTCTTGTATCCTGCTTTTGCTCTACAACACAGTCCTGCTTTTGCGCTCAAACGAACAGCGGGGTGACGGTCTTTTTTTCTTTTTAATTTATCACAACAAATTCATCTCTATCCATGGATAAGGGTCTAGGATAAGGGTCTAAGACAAACTTTTAATTGCAATGAAATTCTAGCGTTACCGGGGTCCTACCTGTGGTTCAAGCAGCATATATCGATGCCTTCCCTGTGGGTAACTAGCTCAGCAACATAGGTCGGTGGCCATCAGGTGCATCGGACTACTCCATATTATGCCGGGGAGGTGTAGAGGAGTATGTGGTGGTGATGGTAAATATTGGGTTAGTTACTTGTTGCACACTTTTGTAGGGAGGATCACGGGCACCATATTCCTGCATGGTAGACTGTTTTCAAAATGCCCAGACAGCGTGGCAACCTAGTGTGTTTCAGTCCGGCCCCAAGAGGCGAGGTCGGTAGCGTGTTATCATAGGCGTGAGAACGCCTGTGAGTCTCCAGTGCTGCTGCCCCGGCGCCTTGTGGCGCACATGCGTTGCACGGGTTCCGGCATGGACGGTAAGACCGATGCAGTGCTGCTACTGCCTGCGCTTGTCTGCTCAAATATGCGCCGGCAGTGATTTTTGGCGTGGTGCTCGGCGTCGGGTGTCGCAGCAAAACATAACAGACGAAGGTACGGCCCACTGTTCATACGGGGTCACGCCCTCGGGGATCCGCGGTTTCATGGAAGTCATTCACACCCCTCTGCGGGTGAGAGCGTTGGATGCGCCGGTCTCTTTTCCTCGCCTGGCTTCCCTCGGAGAAGGGTCACAGCCCCCTTGCCCCAACCTCGTTCCGTTGCTTGCTCTCACGACCTTGTGCGCCGCTATCATGATGCTGCTGCGGTCCTTGGTCGCCTTGGGTGTTGAATTGTTCCCGGTCCGGGGGGAGCACAGACTTCGGGCTAGCGAAGATCGTTCGGCGGAGAGGCGGGAGGCTATCCCAGCGGTACGAGATGACGGGCGAAACAGGTACGGTGATGAGGTGAACGCTCGGTCTCGAGCGGGCCCGAGGAAATAAAGATTCCCCGTTGTTCTTGCTGGGAAAAGCGTGTGCCCACGTATGTGGTCAATGTGGACCCTCACCCGGTCGGTGATACAACCCAAGTCTGGGGGGCGTCATTGCTGTGTGATTGCAGGCGGGCTGCCCGTGAGCAAGGCTGACCGCAGTGTTTTTTGTAACGGTATCTCCTTTGGCTCGCTTTCATCGCCATCATCGTCATCATTGGACGTATCATCCACCAAAAAGGAGAGGGAAGTGTACGTGACATGAACTGGGAAAGCTTGAGGCATTTTCTAGCCAAGTTTGGTGAAGTAGGCAAAGTGGGAAGGGACGATTGGGCATCGGCGATCCGTCCTGTGGGAACAACTTCTCCGTCCTCTCGAGGACACGTAGCCAACGGTCTAACAACTTTGGCATGCCAAACATGAGAGTACGCCCCTCCCCCCCCCCTCACCCACATCTCTTTCCGCCCCGGCATTGTAGGGATGTGTGGTCAATGGTCTCACGATGACGGCATGCGTTTACATGAGTCCCCCCCCCCCCCCCCCCCCCCCCCCCCCCCCCCCCCCCCCCCCCCCCCCCCCCCCCCCC